TCAATGGCTTTCAACATCTCACAGCCTTGGAGCGACTCTGGCTGTGCCACAATGAGCTGCATCGCGTTGACGACATGGCGTCGATTGCTAAAGCAACAAATCTACTTGAGATGACCATAGAGAATAATCCCGTTTCGCTGGCGGGCGACTGTGTCTCCTTCCTGGTAAGTTACTTGCCACGCCTACAAACGCTCAGTCAAATGCCAATTACCGAGCAAGTGCGCGCGGCGGCAATGGCTTGGCGACGTAATAAAGAGATTTCGGACACGCATTACGCACACCTCACGCCCGACGCGTATCAGTGCATCAAACGTGAGGAGGTCATATCGAACGCGCGCACCAACTGGGAGTTGCTAAGGTCGCAGCAGACGCTACAACAGAGTGCGRCACTGCAAAGGCAGGCGAAACAGAAATTGCCACAAACTACGTACACGCCAGCGCCACGCATTGCGAARCCCAGCGAGTTGGCGCGCATAAATGAGTCCAATGAGGCGGTGGGTGATGCGACCGAGGAAGATGCTGGCGTGCTTGTGGCCACTGGGCWGGATGCAGAATTACAAGAGTTCATTAAATTGCCGCCCATACAGCAGCAAGAACAGCAACAGCAACGAGAAATAGAGCCACAGCAAACGCAGACACTCGCACAGACGCGCGTACAGCCAACGAAATCAGGGCAGACATCAATAACCAAGTCTAATCCGGCTGATAGAGGACCACTGCCGCCGACACCCCTCTTGACAAAGGCGCATAAATTAGAACCACCGCCGCCGCTTAATGTGAGCAACGATGTCAAGCACAGCGAAGGCAAAAACAACAATGTTGACATGAACAACAGCAACCTCAACAGTGCGCGCTTTTCTGGCTCGTCGGGTTCGAGTTTGGGGCCCAATGTACACTCCTCATCCAGCTGCTTCAGTTCGGACAATGAGGATTCCGCCGAGTTAACGGCACAACAGCGCGTTACGCACACACATAAATATCAAAAAACAACAGGACAAAAGCAGAAACAGCAACAACGACGGCGCGGCAACAACAACAATGAATATAGGACTGACAACGCAGTTGGGCGGAGAAAAATTGATGCGAAGCAAAAAKCAGGCGATTTGACGACAACAAATGAGTCAGGCAATGCCGATGCTGTTGGGACAACGGCAAACACAGTCAATGGCGGGGCGGCGGCGCRTGARCAACTAGCTGCTGTAAACGACGACYTAGTGGCCAAGGTAGGCGAAGAGTTGCAAGCGGACGAAACTACCGCAAAGCAAAMGCAAGCAACAAATGATGMCAATGCAAGCGATGCTCAGCCGTTAACAGCACAACCACCAACGCACGTGRCGGCGGCAGAAAATGGCACAGCAAAGGCGGGCGAGTCCATCAGTCAGACGGAGAGTAACTCATCAGCGCTGACGCCTAGCCGCGCCACTTCTAATGCTCGCAAAACAGTGATGCCACAACAAAAACCGAACAGCGCAACAATRACAACAACAGCTACTAGTATAACCACTTCAGTTGTAAGCGCCACAGCGCAAATTACAAACCACGGTGGCTTACTAAGTTTAGGCTTTAAAGAGCAAACGAACACCGCTGCTGTCCAGCCGCCGCCACAACAAACAAATGGCGCAGCGTCGGGTTTTGTAGGCGCAACAACGCGCACACTATGCCGCCGCCTAACGAGGTCACAGACAATCGTAGGCGCCAGCAGTGGTGCCACAAATAACTGTCCAGCCACCGTAGCTAATAACGGAAATGAGGCGTGTGTCGGCAGGCGCGCAGCTAATAATGCCAGCAAAACTGCCACAAACGCCACGTCGACGCCGTGCARTGGTCAAGCGTCTGCACAGCCGACTGTCACTTGCATAGTGGCGCCACCGCCAATCAACACAAGCAACAACAACAACAACACGGCAGGCAGCCAACGCGCGCTGGCTGCCAACAAAACGGAACGTGAGGCGCGTGAGCGTGAACGCGAACGTGAGCAGGGCGGAGACTATCTCATCGAGATTTGCGGTCGCTACCTGAATGTGTACGGCCAAGGCGCTTTGCGCTACATCGACAAACAGTGGAATGCTGCGAAAGCGCAGGATGTGCACACGCTCAATTTTAGCTACATCAATTTCAACAATATCGCCGCCACCGTGCTGGCGCGCATCAAGTCACGCTTCCCAAATGCCGAAAATTTCGTTTTTCGCGAAACGAATATCGAGTTTATCGGCCAGCTGAATGCATTAGGCGAACTGCAAGGCATCAGTGCGCTCACCATCGATCCGGAGGGAAATRCAATTACCACAAAGGATTTGTGGCGTGAATACGCCATTTATCGACTGTCGCACTGGGGGCTTAAGCTGATCAATGGTGTTGCGGTCACGGAGGCGGACATCGAGGCGTCCAATGCGCTGTATGAGGGTCTCTCCGATTTGGTGTTGTGGGCAATGCCACCGTCCATGTTGCAGCCGCTGCTGGCACGTTTGCGGCTAGACGAAACATGTACGGCCAGCAAAATGTCGCCTAAAGAGTGGCTAATGAAGCCGGAMAACAAATCGCTGCGCCTTGTTGTTGGCAAAGAGGCGTTACAATGGAAAAAGCCCTACACCGGCGCCACTACTACTAATGCCAATAACGGCGGCAACATTGTCAACGGTATTAGTGGCCAGCACCAACAGCCAATGCCTTATGCCGTGAGCGAGGCCAGCGTAGGCGTCGCTACAAATGCCAACATCAATACGCTTAGTATGCGCGAACGCGGACGCTTGCACTTTGCCACCATGCTGGAGAACACCGTGAACGCTGTGGAGAAAGTGCATATGCTGGAAACCTTATGGCCAAGCATGCTCTTGGACATTGTACGCAACGCTCTGCTTGATTACTCGCACCTCGACGAATATTTACACAGTGTAATCAGCGAAATCATGAAGTAACAAACACAAAGCGCATGCATTGCGTGGACTGGCTGCTGACGCGCGGCTAGATGGCAGGCGCACCGTAGGCGTCCTTTATGTGGGCCTGTACTCCTGTAAAGAAGCGCCGATAGCAGAAATTAATGGCGCTTGTTGTTCCTGTTCATTTGCTGGACATGTTGCCCCTGTGTTTGGCAATACAATAATACTAGAACTACTCGAAGCGAATTTAGATTTAACGAAGACACCTTTATATGTAGATTAGCTAATGGTTTAAGAAAGCGCAGAGCACTTATACAGAGTTACATGCATATGTAGTTGAATAAAGTTTGTAGGTTTGTAGCTCAATTTATAAAATAATAATAAAGCATTGATATGAAAGCAAAATAYAACTCAACTTTTTGATTTTTTAAAGGAAAACTTCGATTTTTAATCATAAAGAAATTACTAAAAATTCAAAATTATAATGAAACTTTGTTCAGAATTTGCTTAATTAAGGATGAAATTAAGATACTTCAGACAGTTACTTTATTTTGATAATTAGCATGTTATACACGCAAGGGAAATTTTGCTAATTGACTTAATTAAAAGTACAGTATTTCCTAATGTTTTCATTTGGAAAATAAAATAGTTGAAGTGGATAATTGAGAAAATTAAGAGCTCGCCAAAAGGTCAAATACTTAATTTCGTCAAAAAACAAGAATTGTCGATGTGGATAGTCAAATATAAGTATGACTAAAATGTCATTTCTTTAATTTACTCACTTAGAAAAATGAAATTAATTAAGAAAAATGTAATTTTTAATTTATTTTTTATTTTTAGACTTGATTTGTATTAATTACAATGCGACGCGGCTTAAACATGAATTAATTAAAAAATTTAATTTAATGAGACGATCAAAGATATTGAGTAACATGAAAAAATAATTTACTCGAAAAACCTCTTTTTTTTATATATTATTTTGCCAAATACCGAATGTACACGTATTTAAGAATATGCTCCGAAATTTTAAGTTGATCCGACATATATGTATGTATGTATGTATATAGTTTCAGAAATATGAGTGTATTTGTGAGAATGTTTGGTCTTAGAGTAATAGGCGGAGAGTTTTCGGTGATCGGATTCAAGATTTCTCACGACCTTCTTAGCTATGTATTATATATCAGCCAGAAAAAGACGGACGGCGTAGGATTTTGAAATTAATTTCGACTTTTTAAAGACATTCTGCGGTGTACATTTTTTCATCAAAAACAACTCATTTTGTCAAAAATTAAAATTTTGACAAGTCCTAAGATAATTATCCGTATTCACCTATAATAAAAATATTTTTTTCTTTTGTATTTGGTTTTCAAATAATTCTTAGTAGAAAAATATGACACTTTTTTATAGGAGGTCCTGCTCGAGATGGCTATGGTCATGTAAATGACATTTTTTAATCTAATGCTGAGTAGTGTAAGCAAATCTGAATGAAAAATTTTGCGACTGCTGTATTAAGAGGTCTGCAGTCCTCATTACGAATGTGTGTTCAAAAAATTTTCAATCACCTACAGCTAGTTTTGAAATGTTAGTAAGTGGTGGTAGCTTGAACCCTGAATGTCTATTCAAAAATTAAAATTTAGCTGATTCCCGTTAGGATGGTAAGGATAAGCGGTTGGCCCCAAGAAAAGTACAGTTTCAACGGGGTCGGACCAAAGGGAGAGGAGTGTCAGGTAAGTGGTGTTGGTGGGCATGCAAAGAGGTGCCCAGTGACATGCAGAGCCTCATTGCASGCARTACAATATATTRRRTATGTCRGRGTCTATTCTGGATAAGTAGGAGTTTAGCCTGCTACAGTATTCAGAGTGAAAATGCGCAAGGRTCACTCTCGTTTCTCTTCGTCTGCRATGTGTGGTGTTTTGACTCCAAGTGCGCCATTCACTGAAAGGGAGTCGGTGAAGGTGTTGATGGCTCCACTGTGAATGGAGGTCAGYGCTTGTCGGAAGTTCGTTRAACCGATGCTTCTCACCAAATATGCATTCAAATCGCTTTGYATTYTCCAGAGAGAAATTATGAACGCKCGGCAACAACAACATATCCWTTTTATTGCATTAAAWCTGTCAGCAACCATTTAATAAATAGGATTTAATTACATTAAATACATTATAATTACAATTCCTTAGATAAATATTATCACTTACATATAAAAACCATTTACAACTACATACGCTACACATATACCATATTATTGTATGAAAAAATTACTTGTTAACAACCTCCTCATTCGAATTAGTTGTTTGCGCAGAGGATTGTTTAATTTTGTCAACATAAATATTAAGTATAGCCTCGATTCCGGGATAGAGTACGAAATTTGTCGTACGTATCTTTTTATCCGTTAGATATGAAGTAACAGAGGCAGTGTTGAACGCAATATCCATCGCATCGTTATGCGTTATCCGATCCAAATTACTCCGCGCTACTTTAATAACGCAATTTTCAAAACCATTCACCTAAACAAATTGGAAAGTGATAGCAATTAATTTAAAAAATATATATGTTAGACATCATTATAACTATACTTTAATGGTCAAGTCCAGCTTATAGTCTGCGTCAATATCCGGCCAACGTTGCGCTAAAACATCACGCTCCCATTGCACTTCTGAAGTGGACGCGTTYAAACGATGCGGCACCGTTACGAATTTCGACCACAATTCCGAAGCGAAGTGTGGCGCCATGGGTGCGAGCATGATAATTTGACTAGCTAAGGCGCGTTCATACTGTGGACTAAAACGTACAATATGCTTCGGTGTACGCTGTTTGCAAAAAGCTAATAGTGAAAAATTATAAATAAAAAGTGAAGAATGGAATAATTTACCCGCAGCGAATTGGTTAGCCCCTGCATCTTCGAGATAGCCACGCTTAATTGATGTGTGTGGCGGTAATTAAATGTGGCGCCCTTCACGTAAAAGTTGCGCGCATCAAACAGTTTGTCGTCCTCAGCTACAAATGCTTCGCTTTGGGTGTCACCGTTTTCCATTGCAGCATCGCCAACAGCAGTGCGTGCCGCATAGAAATCGTTTAAGGTCAACCAAAGACGCTTTTGCCAATTAAGTATGCCAGGGAATGCTATTTAAGGAAGTACGTTTTGAATGTGTATCATACTTTTTTAAGTTATTCTTGTACTTGCGCTAGACCAGTTCCGATGCGAAGTAGGCGCCACATCAGCCAGCGATATGAGGCGTGTGGTATCAGTGCCATATTCTTTAAACATATCAGTGGGATCGACACCATTGAACTTAGACTTGGACATTTTCTCCCATGTCATGACGACAGGCTCTTTGGTTTCCTTCAAGCGCGCTTGATTCTTTTTGGCATTCACAATTTCAACCTATTTGAAAAAAAATATATATATAAATTTTATTTCATAGAATTTTATTTTGACTGTTGGAAATGCACCTCGTCTTCTGTAATGTAGCGTCCGGAACCCTTAACTCTAAATGATCTACCCATAACCATACCTTGGACCAGCAGGCGCGAAAACGGTTCGGGTGTGGGCGAAAGACCGCAGCTGTGCAGGAAGTGATTGACAAAACGCGCATAGTATAAATGCAATACTGCATGCTCTTTGCCACCAATGTATAAATCAACAGGCATATATTTTTGCACCAGTTCCGTATTTACAATATCGCCGGTGTAGCTCGGATCTAGGAAACGCATGTAGTACCAAGAGCTATCAACAAATGTATCCATTGTGTCAGTTTCACGCTTCGCTTCTGTGTCCTCACAATTGGGGCAAGTGCAGCGCAATGCCTCTTCACGTTGTGTCTCCARCAACTTTTTATCTGGCAACACTACTGGCAGTTGATCTTCAGGCACTGGAATAGCACCACATTTTTTACAGTGTATTATTGGTATGGGTGTGCCCCAGTAACGTTGACGTGATATCAGCCAATCTTGCAATTTGGAAGACACGCGGTAGCCGCCAATTTTTAGACGCGTTGCCGCTTCTAAAACTTCTTCGCGCGCCGATTTGGCATCTATTGCAATGGAAGTTTTTGTATGAGCAAAGAATGCAAGTCCAAAGGTTTCTTGCAGTTCCTTGTCCTGTTCGCGAAAACTGGGCGCCGCTAAATATACGTCACAGTGCTCTGGAAAATTAGCTTGATCGCTAAAAATAACAGGTATGATAGTGCCTGAGAATGGATTTTCTACCGTTAGACGCGATGCATTACTTAATTTTGATAAGTAATGATTTTGCTTAATGACTATAAAGGAATTTGGATCTTTCAAGTGTTCCGGATTCCTGGTCCAAATGCGTAAGTAATTTGTTGCGGAAGTTAATAATTGAAATGCATAACCGTCACAATCGCCAATCCAGTGGCGTTGTAAATTAATAATATCACGCCAATCTTGAAGTGTAGGATCTTCTAAACCGTCTAACAAGGCTTTGGCGTATGCTGTCGTGCGTATAAACCATTGATTCAGTAATTTTTTCTGTACTTTAGCACCTGAGCGCCAGGAACAACCATTTGCGTCCACTTGTTCATCGGCTAGCACTGTATTATCTACGGGATCCCAATTTACTAAAGCCTAGTTTTAGTTAAATGACATTTTATATAGTATTATCATAGTATATAATTACATATTAATTATAAATTCAAATTAAACTTAACCTCATTTTGATATGCCAATCCTTTGTTGTAAAGCATTAAAAACAATTTTTGCGTCCATTTGTAATACTCCGGTGAACAAGTTGACATTTCGTGTTTCCAATCAAAAGAGCAACTTAAGGCTTGCAGTTGTTTCTTCATTTGAGCGATATTTGCATCAGTCCATTCTGCAGGCTCTACACCTCTCTGTATTGCGGCGTTTTCGGCAGGCAAACCAAATGCATCCCAGCCAATGGGTTGAAATACATTCTGACCACACATACGATGAAAGCGCGCTACCGTGTCGCTTATTGCATAAACACGTACGTGACCCATATGCAGCGTTCCAGATGGGTATGGAAACATTGGAAGCACATAGAACTTATCATTTCGTGCTGGATCAAATTGTCCCTGTGACACTTGTGTACGCCAATGAGATTCTATTTGGTGTTTAACATCATTTGTAAGCTCCGATACCTAATAAACGAAATTATATCACATTAGTACAACTCTACTTGCTTGATGAGGAGCGGTTTACCTCAATGCCGGTCGCACTTTGTGTTATAAATCGTCTTTTATAAAAGTGTTTAAAATGCTGTAACACGCCCGTACGTAAAAGTAGCTGCATTTTGAAATTTTTATTTACAAAATGTAGCTAAAATTCGAAGTAAATGCAGAAAGAGTCAAATGATTTGTGTTTTGAACGGTGTGCAACTTTCCATCTGTTATAGCAGCTGATCGGAAATTGTAATAGAACTATACAAACACTGAAAAAAAGTGCAGAATTTTCCTCTTGGTGCAACGGCACAACGCAAACTCTCGCAGAAAATTAATTGCAATGGCTGTAAAATGTGTCAGACCAAAACACATGTTTATTTTCATGCAATGATACGTAAAAATATAATTGCAACCCTGTTTTAGCTGTCATTATATATTATTATATGAAGGCAGATTTACCTGTTAAATTGTTGACGAAGGTAAATTTTAAATACATTTTAAATTATAAGGATGTATTACAGGTTTTTGTGAATAATGAATGCAGAAGGTACGCTAATTCACAATAGTCATTCGCAATTGTCCGCATCAACCGTTCTAGACTAGATTCTGCTTTTGCAAGACGAAGAGAACACTTCCTTATATCTATGAATTACTCTCTTGCCTGAACTGTTCCTCCCTAAATCCTCATGCAACTATGTATAATGAATAATACTGCTGCTGCACTTTTAATAGCATAAAGGGAGAAAATTTATTCACATTGCATTCGGTCTAATAAATGAATTAAAAAAATTTCTTAATTCATATAAAACTTTCCCTCACATGGTCGGGACTCAGTTTAAAAAATAAGAAAAACAAATGCATGTTTCATATATGATTTACTAGTTGGATTTTTCCCTGTTTTTGACCTGTATTATAATCCTAAAAGTTGGCATCACTTTTTTTCATCACTGATTTTTCTGCGCTAGCAAATTGCGGACGTAATCAAATCATCTCTTGCAAATTTAATTTGAAATTAATTAATACAAACTTAGTGAGTGTATATTCCAGCGAATAAATCATGGGAGATTCGCTGGAGAACGCTGATACATCTGTGGAGGCGGTAGCAAATGTAACCATTGTCGATTATGGAGCATTTGCTAATTATATACGTAAAGCGGTCACTATCCTACTTCCTGAAGAAGATGTTGTGCCACCTGCATTAAACTATGCTCTCGAGAATCCAGACAACCAGGAACGTATAAAAAAGTTTCTTTCGGATCCTCAAATACAAGCATTGTACATCCAAAGGAACTGCTTGAAAGGTAATTGGCATTTTACTAACGGCATTTGGTTACATATGTATATAGGTATTTCTGTACATAGCGGCTACCTACGCCCATTGTGCAAAATGGCGTCTATTAATTGCAAACATTTTGTTGAATGACGAATTTTGTTTAAAAGTTTTTAATTTGGGCTTATACCATGTGGTTTAGATTTTTAATTTGACTGTACAGTGGATTAAATTTGAAATCCAATTGGTAAAATCGATATTAATTTTCTACAATATTGTAATTAGAAAGTATCTTGACATTTGCACAGTGATGTCATGTTTCTATGGTCATGACTCATGATGATGGTATGTAATCTACTACGCATGAACACCTTTCAGTTTCTATTACTGACTTTTGTCTGGTAACCGGCTATTGTATCGTGGTAGTGGTATCCCGCACAAGTAAACAAAACACAGCTGCTATTTGTTTACAACCGGCAATTTTCATAAATTGTTTTTGTTTTGATTTACAGTGGATTTTTGCGCAATAGGAGGGAGATAGGAAATATAAATATTCATATTGTATGTGGGAGTATACTATCTTATCTTTGATCTTTAATATATTAAAATTATTACATAGTTTATGTTTAGTTACCATTATTGAATTATATATTTTAAAATATATATATTTCATTTAGAAGATGAAAACGAACAGCCAGCTGAAGGAGAGGAAGAGAAGGAGTTCGTCACCTATCAAATAAGTAATGATGTGCACTTCACCAACAGCCGCATGGCATCATTGGCTTGTATCAAACGTGGAGCTGTAATTGAGGCAGACAAATCAATACACTCTCAGTTACGTTTGATAAACTTTTCCGATGGCTCACCATACGAAACGTTGCATGCCTTCATTTCCAAATCCTTGGCACCGTACTTCAAGTCTTATGTCAAGGAATCGGGACGTGCTGATCGGGATGGTGATAAAATGGCTCCATCTGTTGAAAAGAAATTGGCTGAATTAGAGATGGGACTCTTGCATCTTCAGCAAAACATAGATATACCGGAAATTACTCTAACGGCGCATACATCTGTTAATTCGGTAATACGTAAATGTGCCGATGAAAATCGCAAAGCAAAAGTGGCAGATTTTGGTGATAAAGTAGAGGATTCATCCTTCCTTAACCAACTGCAGAATGGTGTTAATCGTTGGATTAAAGAAATCAAGAAAGTGACCATGTTGGATCGTGATCCTTCGTCGGGCACTGCTCTGCAGGTATGTACGAATTCATGCGCAACTCACATTTAAAAATTTATAAAAATTTATTTTTTTTAAATTAGGAAATCTCATTTTGGTTGAATTTGGAGCGTGCTCTGTATCGCATACAAGAAAAGCGTGAATCACCAGAAGTTGCTCTCACACTGGACATACTCAAACATGGCAAACGCTTCCATGCCACCGTGTCATTTGATACCGACACTGGTCTCAAACAGGCCTTGGCTATGGTTGCCGATTACAATCCACTTATGAAGGACTTTCCAATCAATGACTTACTATCTGCTACCGAACTGGAAAAGATACGCCCAGCGGTGCAGCAAATATTTTCACATTTGCGTAAAGTACGTAATACAAAGTATCCGATACCGCGTTGTCTCAAATTGATTGAGGCTATTTCACGTGATCTTTCACAACAATTGCTGAAAGTATTGGGTACGCGTCGTCTCATGCACATTCCATTTGATGAATTCGAACGTGTAATGAATCAATGCTTCGAGATATTCAGCTGCTGGGATGACGAGTATGATAAACTGCAAGGTTTACTGCGTGACATAGCCAAGAAGAAGCGTGACGAGCATCTGAAGATGGCATGGCGCGTATCGCCGGCTCACAAGAAGCTGCAGACACGCATGGAGCATATGCGCAAATTCCGACGCCAGCATGAGCAGTTGCGCACCGTAATATTACGTGTCTTACGTCCCACRAAGCAAGCGCAAAATAACGATGCTAATGCTGCGGAAACGAAGCAACCGTACAGCTTGGAGGCGGCCGATGCCAATGCTATCGAAGAGGTGAACTTAGCTTATGAGAATGTGAAGGAGGTGGACTGCTTGGACATAACCAAGGAGGGCTCAGAAGCTTGGGAGGCAGCTGTCAAGCGTTACGAAGAGAAAATTGGTGAGTTCAAAAAAATAAAAATACTATGAAAGTTTCACTACTTTAACGCTTTTGTAGACCGTGTTGAAGCACGCATCACTGCTCATTTGCGCGATCAGCTGGGCACCGCTAAGAATGCCAATGAAATGTTTCGCATTTTCTCGCGCTTCAATGCGCTCTTCGTGCGTCCGCATATACGCGGCGCCATACGCGAGTATCAGACACAACTTATACAACGCGTCAAGGATGATATAGATGCACTGCATGAGAAATTCAAGGTACTCTTCTAATACATGTCGTGAAAGTTCAAAATTCTTTATTATTGATTTTTGTTTTAGGTGCAATATCCACAAAGCAAAAGCTATCGSCTCTCGACGGTGCGTGACTTGCCGCCCGTAGCTGGTTCCATCATTTGGGCGCGTCAGATCGATAATCAATTGACCATGTATTTGAAGCGCGTTGAAGATGTGCTGGGTAAAGGCTGGGAAACTCATTTGGAGGGACAGAAGCTTAAAGCGGACGGTGACAGTTTCCGCAACAAGCTCTCTATTTCTGAAGTGTTCCAGGAGTGGGCACGCAAAGTACAGGAGCGTAATTTTGGCAATTCCGGACGCATCTTCACCATCGAATCGACACGTTCGCGCACCGGCCGCAGCAACGTGTTGAAATTGCGCGTAAACTTTTTGCCCGAAATCATCACACTCTCCAAGGAAGTGCGTAACATCAAGAATTTGGGCTTCAGGTTAGTTTTTTAAAAGCAGCCTTATAGAGATTTTTCAACTCTAACCTTTACCTACATTTAGGGTGCCACTTACCATTGTCAACAAGGCACACCAAGCCAATCAAATTTACCCGTATGCAATTTCTTTGATTGAGAGCGTGCGCACTTACGAACGCACATTGGAAAAGGTATAAATATGTATATATTTGCGCTGATTTTGCACTGATTTAACACACATACACATAAGTCAATACCACCAGTCCACCACATCTTTGAAACTAATACCATATAATTACTTCCAACACCCTTACAATTGCTTACATATGAACACGCATGTACTTTAAATTGCGTGCAGCTTGTAAACGCGTATTAACAGAGAAAATACATACATATCTACTCGTATATTTTTTATTTTATTTAATGTTGGCAACATTTTGTGCTAATTTCTAACGCCTCGATATTTTGCAGACTTAGTTTATTAAAAATTGTTTTTTATTTTTTCATTTCTTTTTGCCAGGGTTGCAAATTCTGCATTAAAAAATAATTGAATTAACATTAAAATTATTTTTTTTTGTGTCTTATTAAGAATAATTTTAAACGTTCAAAAAATTCAAACACCGACTTGAAAAATAAAGAAAGAAATCCAAAGTTTATAATTAACAAAAATTATTTTCGAACTTCGCCCATGCGTACCTCGTGTTCCAACATCATATTCCATATTCTCGAGCAGTGGTCGTCAAATTCACACATACAAACGTTTTAGTTTTTTTGTGTTATTAAATTTTAAGCCACTACTATAGTAATTATGGACTTTCGGTGCCTCCGTCAATAGCTTTGTTCATTTTTTGTTCATTCTGATTTGGAATTAAAAACTAAATGTTAAATTTTTAAATTCGAAACTTCAATTAAAAACTAATTATATACCTTTGTTTTGAAAATTTTATTATAAAAATATTTAAGGAAGAACATTGCAACCCTGATTTCTGCTTAATCCTAATTTCGTTGTAAGCTCGCAATTATGCAAACATGCAAATTGGTTTCTTAAATTAAATGTCTCCATTATGCTTCTCTCTTAAATATCACATAATAATACACCATAATATCTATTAATATGCCACTAAACGCGCAACGGTTTTAAAC